GTCCCTGCCCGGGGCAGGGGTTGGAGCTGGAGGAGCTTTAAGCTCCCTTCCAACACAAACCAGTCTGTGATCCCATGAGGAAAGAAAAGCTTCTGTTGGGTTTAAATGCGGGGTGGGAGGTGGGATTTCAAGACGTGCCGAGGAAGCCAGGGCTCTGCCGGTGTGGGTCCTGTGTTACTCCATCGTGTTTGCACGTGGAATGTGAGTGGTGCAGTTGCAGTTCTCATGAAAATGTACTATTTTTTCATTCCCTCAATGGTGATATTTGAAAGCACTGCAGCTGCTTTTGAATGTTGATGTGCAGCTCGCTCTGTACCTCGGTCTGGCCCAGACTGTGTCTGGCTTTTCACCTTCAGTGCGTCGGAGGAAGCAGGTGTGGACTTAAGAGTTGTTGTGAGAGGAGGCAGAGGGCTGTGCGCGCTGACAGACCACTGCTGCTTCCTTCCAGGAGAAGGCAGAGGAAGTTTATCGCCTCTATCAGAACTCTGCGCTTTCTTCTCACCCCGTTGTTGCCCTCTCGGAGCTGCGTTCCCTCTGCGCCAGCGTTTGTCCAGATGAAAGGACGTTCTACTTGTTGCTTCTCCAGCTGCAAAAGGAAAAGAGGGTCACGATCCTGGAACAGAATGGAGAGAAGGTACAGGGTAAAGGTGACTGCTTTTGGGTGGTATAATCCCTGTCTTGCATTTCATCTGGCTGGAAAGAATACTTTATTGGCTCAATATGGGTGTTCTCTGTTTGGGAAAGTAAACTCTGTGTGCACCAACATTGTAACCTGGTTGTAGATGAGACTAAGTCCTCAGTCTTGCACAATAGGTTCTTAAACATTTGTGCTGTTACTGGCTAGCAAATGGGCAGATACTGTAGTTGTCTACCTGCAGGTAGACTGTCCCTAGCTACCCAAATTCAAATCATTCCACGCCCCTAGAATCAGTGTTCTGCTTTCTGTGAGAGGGGTTTCCTGTCTGTCAGGAACTGCAGAGATACAGACAGTCTTGTCTCTAAGATGGCATGTTTCCCTGTGGTGCTGCACTGTGCAGTTCAGGACTGAAGTGCTTGGAGGTGTGACACTGCCATACGCTGGTCTGCACCAGGGCAGCTTTAGGGTGTTCCGTTAAAGCTTTCTGTTTTCACACTGATGTTCCTTGATCCTGGCTAGTTCAATGTTTGATTATAGGTGACTGATGCATCCTCATCACTATTGCAAGGCTTAAACTGAGGATCAAAACATCTTTTCTTTCGTCAGAGTTGGAGTATTTCTAGTGCAGGCACAGATTGTGGAGACAAGTGACTCGAGTGTGTGGTTCTCTCCCTTTAGATAGTGAAGTTTGCCCGAGGGCTTCATGCCAAAGTCTCCCCGATGAATGATGTGGACATTGGAGTTTATCAGTTGATGCAGAGCGAACAGCTGCTGTCACAGAAGGTGGAGTCCCTTTCCCAGGAAGCAGAGAAGTAATTTGGGGAAGGGTGGTGGGAAGAACTTCTGTGTGATGTGGAACTTTGTATTCTGGTGACCTAGTTAGAAGAACGAAACTGTTTCTGAAGGTGCAAGCTCCTTCCTGTTCTGTAAACACAGGAGTCACAGTCATGTGAATGGGCTCGTTTTCCAATCTTTGTTCCTTATCCCCATAAAAACAACATGCAGTGAATGGATGTCTAAAGCTTTTGCAAAGGTTTGGAATGAATTCAAGGACAACTGCTGAGGAGCAACAATGGGTTAAGGGTGGCTGTGTCTGAAAGGTGGTGTTGCTCAGTTGTCTGGGTTAGAGCAAGGCAGTGAGGATGGTTGTTGATTTGTAAAAAAACCTACTGCTTGCCAAGGTCTGAGCTTCTTTTCCTTTGTGCATCTGTACAGGTGTAAAGAGGATGCCCGGAGTGCTTGTAGAGCTGGGAAGAAACAATTGGTAAGTACCATTCTACTTGGAACTACAAGTGCTTTGGAGCTGGTCCATAACTGCAGATAATGGCCATGGTTAGGCATCGCGTGCTCTATTTTAATGTGTTGAAGTGAGGTCTCTGAGGCTAAAGGTCTCCTTAAGGTGGAGATAAGAATGTATTTGTCCAGAGCAAGGTGCTGAAGAGAAATGGAAATATCCAGCTCTTAAAACCAGCTGGGGTGTGTGTGCGCCTTGCTGCAGAGGGCTTGCTGGTTTTGATTCCTTCACACTTTCTTTGGTTGCTGCCTGGTTGGTGATCCCAGCCTGTGTGTCTCCTGTCTCCAGGCACTGAGATGTTTGAAGTCCAAACGAAGGACAGAGAGGCGCATTGAAGAGCTTCACTCCAAGCTGGATGCAGTGCAGGGGATCTTGGACCGGATCTACGCCTCCCAGACCGACCAGATGGTAGCGTGTTCATATTGTCTTGTGTTTCTCACTTGAGCCCTTTGTGTGCTGCTTTACCTGCTTGTCAGAGCTCATGTCTGAGGGGTGGGTGCAAGCTGGCTCTGCTCTAGGAAACAGCAAATCTGCTGTTGGGGTATTGCTCTGAATAAACCTGCCTGTGGCTCCATCGTCTGCTTGGATGCTGACACTTCTCTAAGGGTCCTGCTTGGACACCAGATGTCTGAGAGGTGGTGGTGTTTGTTCTTAGCATTGTGCATCTTTCTCCTTTTTATGTATTTTTAAAGGTATTTAACGCCTATCAGGCTGGTGTGGGAGCTCTGAAACTCTCAATGAAGGATGTTACTGTGGAGAAGGCAGAGAACCTGGTGGATCAGATACAAGAGGTACTGACATAAGAGCTTATCTAGATAAATAAGTGGTGTGTAGATGTACACAGCAAACTTGCACAGCTACTAATGCTGAGGCTGTTTGGTTTCTATCCCGTATGTCACCAGAGCAAACTTAATCCTGGTCTTTTTAGATCAGCAAGCAGAGGTCTTCAATAACTGTCTTTATGTATTTGCATTTATTGTTAGCTAGTAGTCACAGCTTCCCTGAAATTGGTGCATTTTATGTGTTCTTTTGGTTAGAACATTGCACAAGCACCCAGCTTTCCTAGAAAACATTGAGCAGGATGTATTCAAACGAAATACAAGCTGGAATGCAACTGTGCGTGTAGACGGGCCTTAAAACTGCCTAACCCATGATCTTCTGCAATTCAGGATGGGAAAGGAGATGGGATTGTTATGAATTGAAATGAAGAGAGCAATCTGTCTGCATAAGCTGGTGTAAAAAGCAGGAAATGATTACTTCTTGAGCAGCTTCAGCTCCGTGTACTTGGAGTGATTCTGCCTTTAAGTCAACTTTGGAACTTTGTTTTTTGTTACCTCTGCTTTTGACACAGGTGGCTGCAGTAAGACATAAGATGAGTTTTTACTCTGTGTCAAACACTGTGTATTTTTCCTCAGCTTTGTGATACTCAAGATGAAGTAGCCCAGACTCTGGCTGGAGTGGGGATCAATGGTCTAGGTACGTGCTAGGTTTTTTATCCTTTGCTCATCTTCTCTTGCCACTGCTGGCCCTTTGTGTGGCCATCCTTTCCCTGCTCCCTCCCCACGCTCTAGTCCTCCTTCCTGGGAGGATAGTTGCTCATTGAAATACCAAAGCTGTTGCTACTGGTGCCTTGAGAGGGAATGAGAACTGACAATGAATTCTCTCCTCTGACAGTGGTTATTTGTTCATCTCCAGATCCTTGTAGTCTCTCAAGTGCTGGTGGATTTCAGTTCAGAGTTGTGTCATGTTGATTTAAATCTATTTTTAGAGCAGCTGCTGCTTTGTTTTATAAGTGATAATCTTGTTCCTCTGGCCTGTGTGTTGCTGCAGCTTGTTTGTCTCTGCTGAAGTGTTTTCTTGCCTTTTGATGCCTCACTGCAAAGGCTGCTAAAGGAGTAGCTTCTCCCTGAGATGAGGACTGAGTTTTCACAGGGGGTTCCTTATTATTGTGGGTAATGATGGATGGCAGTAAGGATACCTCTGTTAAACTTGGACTTCGGTCTGTGCTGTGAAGGTGCTACTTAATTCTGCTTGGAACTGAATGTTTTCTTTAATCAGCAGAGACGGACACTGAGGAACTGGAGAAGGAGCTGGACAGTCTCCTGCAGGACTCGACTAAGGAGCCTGTGGATCTGCCTCCTGTTCCCCAGAAGGTGCTCAATCCACCCATTTCTGATGCTGAGCTGGAAGCTGAACTGGAAAAGCTCTCTGTGTCTGATGGAGGTATGGATGTCAGCAGGTTGTGTTAGCTAACTGCTGTCAGCCTTGCAGAACCAGAGATGTCTAGAACTAAAGTCTGAGCTAGAATCCTTCCCACTTCCAGTTACAGGGTTGAAAGGAAGCTCTCCTGGTATCCCTGCTCAGTCTCTGGTATCTCTGCTTTCACTACCAGGCTCGATCTCTTTGCTAGGAATTCTGCCTAGCCAAGCACGCAGCATCTTCTCTGTCCTAGAGTGCTTATTATGTCCTATGTTATAGGTATGATGTCTGCTAAGAGTAGGACTAAACTAGTCTTTATGTAGTAACAGGGAGCGACCAGAGCTTATGGGCTTGAACTGCACAATGTGTTTTCCATAGACCTGTCTTGGACAGGGGTAAATAGGTTTTAATTTGCCTTTCAGGAATCTGTTAACATTGCACAGGACTGTCCGTACCATTTTCTTCCTCTTTGGGCATGTGGTATTCCCAAGTTTCAGAGCAGAAGAATGGTCAACATCCCATAAAGCATGGGTTTCCAAGAGAATGCAGTTGAATATTGAAGCACTGAGGCTCTCTGAGATTGTATTTTTTAGTTATAGAGGTGGTTGATGTAGTTCCTCTTACTGATGAAAACTGGTCTCTTTCTGTTGTGATTGTCTTTATAGATTTGGCACAAAAGATTCCCTCTACTTCCTCTGAACCCAAAACAGCTCTGGGACTGAATCTCTAAAGACCCAACAGCATCCTGTTGCTGCAGTGTGAGAAGTTGTCTTAAGGTTCCTTAACTAATGACTAGAACTTCTGGGGAGAGGGGTAACACTCCCCTGTTCTTCATGGATATCACTTTGCTCAGCAACAGGATCTCCTGCCATGACAATCCACTCTGGAACTGGCCCCAGCTGGTGTTTGTCATCTCTGTGCCAACATCTGCGCTGGTCTCAATTTGACTTGTGATCCCAAGTCACTCTGCAACATCCAGTCTTCCCTCTGGGAATGCCCTTCACTATTCTGCCCAGCGAAGATAAACTCTTCTATGTCCATAACAGTGCTCGTTTTTCATTTTCCCTTTGCTGTGGCTGATGTTGAGAACCTGAGTCACAGCAGTATTGCAGTTGCTCAACATTTGGCTGTTTGTGTGGTTGTTTAAAACACTTGGCACCTAAGTACTGTCCTTGCCATAAGTTACCTGCAACAAGCTTACACACCCGTTGGTAGTTCTACCCCTCCCTGTCTGTATTTTGCACGGTCGTGGGCAACTAGACACTGTAACTGTTCAGTTGTAGGAGATTTTGTTGCTGCTCTAGAGGGCAGCAATTGCAAGCACAAGACGAAAAGAATTCCTCTTTCTGTAATGACATTAAGGCCTTAAAAGGGAGACCTGCAAAAGATCTTTAGCTGAAGGCGTTTCTGACGCTGCCTGTGGGGACAGAGGCTCGTGGGCACTGTAATACAGCTTTCTGCTCACTCTTACTTGAAATCTGAGCTATTTTTGTATCTTCCCTGTTTGCAAAACTTGTTGGGAGCTGCAGGGTGATCTTCTTGGAGCTCTCGTACTGAGTGATTCGGGATGGGAGGAGAAGGGATGCATCATTTTCCCTTTCCATGAGGCCAGTTTCATACAACAGCCTTGTCTTTGCCTTCAGTCTTGATGTTGCAATTCCACAAGATTATAGGTGACCAGAAAGCCCCAAACCAAAACTCTGGCAGTGTTTCTCATGCAGACCCACCCGAGCACAGCAACTGAAGCTGTTTTTAGAGGCTTTCTTTACCCATCAGAAGTGAAATCCTCATCTTTTGCAGGTCACTTTTTTATTACATGTATGCACAGGGGAGAGCAGAAAGCCTGATCCTGAACATGAATAGGTGAATTCTTTTAGGAGAGGAATGTGCTAGAAACTGGGCTTTCTGTGCACAGAGCCTGTGTGTGGCAGGGGAGGGACCAGCTACGTGTTGGTGTGTAACCAGTCCTCCTCCCTCTGCCGCTCTCCCTGACTTGGAATGTATTCCCATATTCCCATCACCATTTCTCTGCTGCTTCTTGCACCAAGCTCTGTTGCTCGAGCCACGTGGATGGCAGATTGGGTGAGCCGTAAAGGGGGGCTGGAGCTCCCATGGCCTGGTCATTACTGGTGACCCAGCTTTAGCCCCAGAGGGCAGGGGAAGCACTTCCAGGTGTCACTATGGTACTGTGTTCTCTCTGCCTTCGTTGTTGCTTTGTTGGGGAGTGGACTCCTGCCAGAGGAGTGTGCTGTAGCAGCTCACCCGGGCTGCACATGGAATTATGTGAAATGACTTGAAGCTTTGTAAGTAAATGGGAGAAAAACCACTGTGTTTTCTGCCTGTGTGTAATAAAAGGGAAGGGAGGAACCAGAGTCCCTTGTGGTGCCTCCTTTTCTTTCCCTGTGCCACAGGTCACTGCGTGTTGTGCTGTTCCAGCTGTGCTTCTGCATCGATAACACTTGTGTGCTGACAGTAAATGGGCAGACTCCTGGGCTGCTGTGCCAAAACCCAAACTGACCAACTGCTGCCTGCACTTCGATTGCCTCAGGTCTTTTCCTCTGTGTTTAGAAAGGCCCTTTAGCAGTTCCTGTGTGTAAGAAGTTGTCTGTCTTTACACGTAGCCTGTGCTGGGTTTGGGGTTGTACAGCCTGAATGTTGAGGATCATTCTGAAAAGGCTCACTTCCTTTTCTGTGCTTCAGCTTGTCTTGTCCCACCTTTTCACCAGTGTGCAGCTAACAAAGGTGCAGTTTCAAGGTTCACATGGCTGCAGGGAGCCCACAGATCTGCCTGCTCCCCATTTCTCCTCTGCTATCACCTGTACCTTCCCAGGAAGTAAAGCTCCAAGTGATTCCTGTAGGAACAGATGCTCTCCTGTAGTTCTGTGGTGCATCTGATGGAGACGGCCCTTCTGGAGGAGGCATTGAAGAGTTAAACCCAAGCAGCTGCTGCTTTAGTTGAAGTGGCTGGTAATTTTCTCCCTTTGATGCAAAGTGGGGAATGTAATCAAGATGGCTGAATGGAGAATGTTAAGGATATTTTGGTGAGACAGCAGCGAAGGGAAATCGAGGGCAGCTTCTTGCTGGGTGAGGAAATGAAATACGAAAACCTAGAGCTGAATTGCCACCAAACTGGAATCTTCTCATATTTGAGTGCGGGTTAAAATAGGACTTAACTTGAGTCTCAGCAAAAATAGCAGCTGCTTATGTGAGGAAATGGAGCAACAGTTTAGTCCTAGACTGCAGCAAACAGTGCTCTCAGTAGAGACGATCGCAGCGAGCAGGCGGGAGGAGTTAACCTGGGAACAGGAGGGACTGCCTGCGCTTTGTCTGGGGAACTGTGTCTTGTCTGCCTCTGATAGCAGAGTGAATGGGTCCTGTCTTCATCAGGTGTGTTCTGAGGTGCCCCGAAACTGGGTAACGTGTCAGGTCCCTTCCCATCTGCTTGCTCCTGCCAACGCAGCTTCCAGTGCCTGCTTCAGCGTGAGCTGTGCGCGAGGGCGAGCGCCTTTGAGGTGTTTTTAAGCCCCTGAGGAGGAAGAAAGCTCCTTGTATCTCCAGGAATGATTTCCTGGAATGCCTCCTGGCTTAGCATGTGCATCCTAAGCATGCCATGAGTTCCCACTCCAAGCCTCTGCCATGGTTTAATGCTGTGTGACAGATCACCTGCCATCGCCATGAAAACATCCTCTTTGTGTCCTGCAACTTAGATCTGGAAAATCTTTGTGCCTGATGTAGGGAATGTGTGGAAAGATGCCCTTTGAGGTGCAGAGGACAGTGCATCTGCATGGGTTAGTGCACTGCTCGATTGCAGGAGGGAGGGAGCTGGCCTGACACGAAGACCCAAGGGAGGGTGCTGAGCCGTGAGCCGGTGGCTGGTGCCATCTAGCTGCTCCTCCCGGCATAGGCACTTGGCAGGAGCAGGCTGCAGACGGTGGAACTAATGAGGCTTAATTAAACAAAGCCTTCAGAAGTCAATGCTGTGACACGCTGGCACCGAGTTCCTTCAGCCTGTCACAAAGCGAGCGTGCTGTTTGCTTTGGGAATAAGCTGCTTGGTGCTGTGTCTTCAAGGGAATAATTGCCCTCTTGTTTGAAAGTTGTTCTTGGGCAGCTCCTGCTCGACGTGGATTGTGCAAAGCCTGGGGTGCAGGGTCAGGGTGAGTAAATCTCAGTGTGGATAATCTCTCTGTGGAGCTTGGCTGCTGCTTTCTTCAGAAGTGCTGTTGGGACAGGCAGAGGTCATCACGATACACTCCAGCAACTACCAGTGTGGTGTGAACTAATGCTCAGCTGCCTGCTTGTTCCTCCAGTTTGATTTGGAAAGCTTCTGCTGCTCTTTCCCATCTTGGCCAGTTTTCCAGCCAGGCATTTCTCAAAAGCAGGTCCCCGTTGAGCAGCTATTGCAGAGCCAGCTCTGAAGGAAACTTGTCTCCTGAAGGAGTTTACTGACATTTCCTGATCCAAGGAGTCCCTTTGCTTACAAGGTGGCTTTAGTGATGGATTCCAAGTGCTTCCAAGGCTAAACTGTACCTTCAACACTGCCAGGGATGGGGCAGCCACAGCTTCTCTGGGCATCCTGTGCCAGCGCCTCAGCACCCTCACAGGGAAGAACTTCTGCCCAAGAGCTCATCTCAGTCTCCCCTCTGGCAGGTTGAAGCCATTCCCCTTGTCCCGTCCCTGCCAGGCTGTGACCCACCTTTGGCACTGCAGTGGCTGGGGCTCTCTGGCTCTGCTCAGCCCCTGTGTGAGAAGGAAGAGCAGCTCCTTTCAGGGGAAGGGATGATGGGGGCAGTGAGGAGACCTCTCTTTGCTGACAGCGTTGGAAAGACACGTTGATGTTGTGGTTCATGTTTTCAGCTGTCGGTCAATGGCAGAGCTGATAGCTAATGTGGAGTGGGCTAGGAATTAAAGGAAGGATGGTGAACTTGAAGGAGGAGCTACCTTATATCACTGTATTGAAAGCACTCGTGTTAATTCAGGATAAAGAAACCTTAGCAAGGTGATGGTCAGTCTCCTCTTTGGTTCTACACGGACCCTCTGCTGACAGACTGGAAACACTTTGGCTGGTACTTGCAGAAAGGGAAATCTTTCACATTTGTACAAGGGTTTTTTATGTGTTTGGGTTTTTTCTCTCATTTTCACCTGTGGACCTGAAGAAATTTTGTACTTTGGGAAAGTAACTGCCAGTTTTGCACCACTTGCAGCCAGGAAGCTTGGGACGGGGGGAATAACTGATTTAGGGTCATATATGTGAACCGTGACTCGGTGAATTTAGGTGTCTTTTATTCAGAGCACAAGCACAGTGAATTTCCTGCCGATTTGCATTGAAGAGCCTCAAATCCCACTTGAATGTTTGTTATTTTACCCCTTCAATCCTATCGCCTCATTCCCGAGCAGCTTACCCTGTCAGCTGCAGCCTCCCAGTGCCATCGCCTTGGCTCGCAGAGCACGGACGTGGTGAGCAGGGACCTGGTGTGAAATCCAGAGGCAGGTGGGCACAGAGGGATGAGCAGAGCAGCTTGATGATGAGCAGAGAAGGTCTGTCTGCAAGAGCAGAGGGAGCTCCGAGTCCCTCTTGCGTCTGGCAGCAAGTCCCAGCCTGGCCATTGCGGAAGGGATTGGCTGGGGTTCTGTAGCTGGCACATCAACAGTGCATGAGGAGCTGCTGAGGGAGAAGAGGGAGGAAGGCTTGCTGCAACGCAGGAGGTGAGTGCCAGCCCTCTGTGAGCTGCGAGGAAAGCAAAGTGGGGTGGCAAGAGGGGAGACTCGCTGTCAGCAGCAGTGAGAGCTGCAGGCAGCTCTCTGGTGCTGGCTGTGAGCTGGGAGGATTGCTGGTGCTGCTTCTGAGCCAGCAGAGCAGTGAAACGAGGTTTTGGGTGCTGATGGGGACTTGAACAGCCGCGGAACCTCTCGAGGGACTTGGAACAAAGGCGAACCCATGGATGGATTTTACTCCTCCGCAGAAGGAGGTGGGCAGGATGTGATCAATGGCACTGGCAGTAGGAAGAGCTGGGCAGAAGAAAGCGACCCCAAGTCGTCCTTCCATGTGGTGGCAGCCACCCTGCTTTTCCTCCTCATCCTCTCCACGCTCCTGGGCAACACCCTGGTGTGTGTGGCCGTGCTGAAGTTCAGACACTTGCGCTCTAAGGTCACCAATTTCTTCGTCATCTCCTTGGCGGTGTCCGACCTCTTTGTGGCCGTCCTGGTGATGCCCTGGAAGGCTGCCACCGAGGTGGTGGGGTTCTGGCCTTTTGGGGCTTTCTGTGATGTTTGGGTGGCTTTTGACATCATGTGCTCCACAGCCTCTATCCTCAACTTGTGCATCATCAGCGTGGACCGGTACTGGGCCATTTCCAACCCCTTCCGCTACGAGAGGAGGATGACGCAGCGTGTGGCTTCCGTCATGATCGGGCTCGCTTGGCTGCTGTCCCTCTTCATCTCTTTTGTCCCCGTGCAGCTGAGGTGGCACAAGGACCGGGAGCTCCTCAGCCAACAGGAGCCAGGTTTTAACATCACCGGGGAGGAGGAGCACTGTGATTTCAGCCTCAACAGGACTTACGCCATCTCGTCTTCTCTCATCAGCTTCTACATCCCCGTTGCCGTCATGCTGGTGACGTACACCCGCATCTTCCGCATCGCCCGGCGCCAGATCCGCAGCATCTCCTCCCTGGAGAGGGCGGTGGAACATGCCCAGAGCTGCCACAGCAGCGACTGCCCTCACGAGGCTTCCCTGAAGAACTCCTTCAAGAAGGAGACCAAGGTCCTCAAAACCCTCTCCATCATCATGGGCGTCTTTGTCTTCTGCTGGCTGCCCTTCTTCGTGCTCAACTGCATGGTGCCCTTCTGTGACCCTGACCTGCATGAGCTGGGAGAGCCGCCCTGTGTCAGCGAGACTGTCTTCAACATCTTTGTCTGGTTTGGGTGGGCCAACTCGTCCATCAATCCTGTCATCTACGCCTTCAATGCGGACTTCAGGAGAGCTTTTGCAACCCTCTTGGGCTGTGGCTGCCTTTGCCCCAGCAATGCAGTGGAGACGGTGAACTTCAGCAATGAGCTGGTCTCCTACCACCACGACACCACGTGTCAGAAGGAAGTGGTGACCCTCAGCTACCACCAGCTTCTCCCCCACGTTGCTCTGCACGTGGAAAACGACGAGATGGCCCTTGACAGGGTTTCTCAGGCCTCTGAGCCTTCTCACACCACCAGCCCTGCAGCCATGCACGTGGAGCGTGAAGTGGCTGTCTCGCTGGAGAAGATCACCCCTTTCACCAGCAATGTCAATTGAGATAGGGGTGGGAAAAGGGTGGTGGGATGGCCTCGAGGAGAGTTTGGAATCAGGGACTCTATTGCACTTGCCTGTTTCTGAGGGGTTTGTGGATAATGTGGATATTGCTCTCTCTGGGCAGGCGTTTGCACGGAATAGCCAGAGACATTTTCCAGGTGGCTCAAGGGGTTCAGATGTGTTTGTAGCTCAGTTTCAGAGCCAGCAGAGATGGGCAGTGCTGATCTGTGGTGCTGCCCTTCTCTAGCTGACCCACAGGAGAATGCTTTCTGCAGAAGAGGGAGATGCAGGGGCTGGAATAACACTTTCTTTGGGACTTGAGCTGAGAAAGCAGACACTTGTGTGCTCTGCTGAGCCTCTCCTCTGTAGCTGGTGGAGTGAAAACCCAGCTGGGCTTGTGGGCAAAGGCTGCTTTTGCCACAGCCTGGGGCCAAAAGGCCATCAGCCCAGGCTGCTCAGTGGCCACAAGCTAAAGGCAACTGCTCACGTGGTGATGACTGGTGGGACAGTGCTGCAGAGCAGCCTTTAGCTAGGGAGACCCGTGCTTGTGGTGGGCTTTGCAGGAAGCTGGTGATGGCTTTGCTGGGATAATGCTCTTGGGTTCACCTTTGGCTGTGTCTCTTGCTCAGGCAAATGATCCTGCAGGTGTGGGAATGGAGCCCTGAGGCTGTGCTGGGTAGCAGCTTGTCCTGAGCGTGTTGCAGGCAAGGACTGGGCATGCTAAAGGTCTGCATTGGCCCCTGGAGCAGGAGCCAGCCTCTCTAAGCTGGGACATGCACAGCTGGGGGGTGCATGAACATAAACTGTGGTTTAGCTCCAGGATGTTGGACCTTCTGCTTTGGGGATGAGAGTGTCTGAGCCCTTCAGACTCTGAGGGCAGAGGAGAAAATGAGATGTTAAAGCAAGAACATTGCTGGTTTGGTTTCTGTGCCCTCATCAGTCGGGTCCTCCTCCTTTTCCTACACTGTTTCTTCCCCTTTTCACTTTGTACTCCCTCTAATTCCCTTCCTCCCCCATTTCATTACGGATCCTTCCCCATTGTCTCCCTTGCTGGCCTATTTCAATAGCAAGAATGGCTTCTTAAGCAGCACTCTGTGCTCACCTGTACTCTTTAATGAGCCTCTCCTGCACGTTGGGAGCTTGTGTCTGCTTAGCTGGGGGCAGAAACAGCAAGTGAGCAGCCCCAGCATCTCCCTGCAGGCTGCTTGACTTCAGAGAGGGGGTTTGATCCATGCCTGCTTAAACACCACAGCAGCAAGCAGCACGTCTGCGTCCTCTTGAAGCCGAGACATCTTTAACTCCCTGAGCAGCAGAAAGGCCTCTCCCCCTCCCTGCAAACATTAACAGAGAAATCAGAAAGGGGTAATTGCAGAGTTAAGGGTAATTATTAACTAGAGCCCAGTTATAGTCAAGTTACAGCATAATCAGTGTGGGAGGGGAGCAGAGCTCACTGCATCCCCAGGGTCGATGGGGATTTTGCTAGGGAAGCACCAGTAAGACTGAACCTCATGTGCACCCATCTCTCCCCATGCAGAGTGGTGGCTTGCTCTCCGAACCAAGGCAGGCTCAGGGCTTTTCAGCCCTGGGAGGATGGTAAATCCCAGCTCAGGGGAGGAGTTCTGAGGTGGGGATGATCATCTGGCACCTTTCTGGGAGATCCAGTGCAATTCCATTTGTGCGTTCCTGCAATGTATTTATGTCCCTCACTAAAAGCAAGGTGTTGTAGCACATGTGCTATGGTTGGACTTTAACTTCAGGGCTCCTGGCTTGGTGCCCAGAGGGAGTCAGGATGAAGATGCAGCTTTTTGCAGTGTCCTGGTTGCCCTGGGTTTGATGTTTGCTGATACTCATCTTGTGGCAAAGTTCTGGAGCTTTATCCAGGACTGTTTGTAAAGAGACTGGAGAAAAGCTGGGTGTATCACCGTTACCTGTGATGAGTTGCAGGGTTGAACCTGCACAAGGCAAAGGAGAGGGTGATGTGATCCCTTTTTGTCTGGTTATTGTCCTCGTTAACTTGTGCTGGGGAACACCAGATGGTGCCCAGCTCCAGGGCCCCTCAGGGCCCTGCTCCACCAGCGGTGCAGAGCATCCTTTCCATCCACTGCACCTCTTCCCCATGCCCTGGCTGGGAGCAGGGATGGCTGATTCCTTCCTGGCATCAGCATTACAAGAGACAAGGAACTGAGAATGAGCCAAACCAAAACCTTCCCGCTTATGGACCAGGTCTCTGCACATCATAGACATTCCTGTGGTCAGGCTGGGAAATGGACAACAGCTCCAAACTGGTGTAACTCTGGCTTGCTTTGGCAAAAATACTCCTTGTTTGCCTGGCTTCAGAATGGGTTTCTTTTTCCTGCTATGGGTTTCCTGCATTGTCCTCCTTTCCAGTTCCACCAGGAAGCATTCTCCTCCCATCCTGAAGCCATACAGTGCACTGCTCCATCCCTGCAGTATTCCAAGGTGAGTGAAATGAATTCCTACCTGGGCTGCTCCTGGAGCAGGACTGTGAGTCGGGACTCGTGTGTGCTGTTGCAGCTCTGCTCCTGCCCTGTAAGCCCGGGTAAGCCTGGTCACTTCCTGGAGCTCTGGTTTTGTCATGGGTGAGCAGAGGGCAGCACCCTGCAGGCCGGGTGTGCAAAGCTGTCAGTGCTGAGCAGTCACACTGAATCCCAGCCTCCTTTGTGCTGGAAGGGACCTTAAAGCCCCTCCAGCTCCAACCCCTGCCACGGGCAGGGACACCTTCCACTAGAGCAGGTTGCTCCAAGCCCCTGTGTCCAACCTGGCCTTGAACACTGCCAGGGATGGGGCAGCCACAGCTCCTCTGGGCACCCTGTGCCAGCGCCTCAGCACCCTCACAGGGAAGAGCTTCTGCCTCAGAGCTCATCTCAGTCTCCCCTGTGGCAGGATAAAACCATTGCCCTTGTCCTGTCCCTCCATCCCTTGTCCAAAGCCCCTCTCCAGGTTTCCTGGAGCCCCTTTAGGTAGATAAGAATAAAATGAGTAAATAGGAGCTCAAATCCAGTTCAGGGTGAGCCAGATTGTGGAGTGAGGAAAACAAACGGGCATCTTTAATCCTCTCAGTGTCTCTCTACTGCTGTGGAGGTACTGAGGTGCCTGGTTACGTGAAGAGAGAGGTCATTAACGAGGGAGAGGTATCCAGGATGGTGCCTCCTGCTCATGTCCATGTAGGTTGGGAAGGACGCTGGGAAAAGGGCTGTGTCTTACGTGCAGTCATGAAATCAATGCACATCTTGTTATGCATTGCCCAGGGCAGACAGGAAGGCTCTGGGCACGAGTGGAGCGTGGTGCCTGGTGCAGCAGATGGATGGAGCCATGACCACCAGCCCTGTGCCAGCCGGGGAGGAGCGTATCCTGCTGGGCAGCGATGGCTGGTGCCCTGGAGGTGATTTTTCAGGTTTGGGAGGAATGGATTTAGCAGAGAAATGGGGAAATGGTGTGTATGGGGAATGGGGGAGGGGGATGTGGCCGCTGCAGGCTGCTGCCGTGCCTGAGTTTGCTTCCAAATTGGAATCAGCAGCTGCTCTTCTCATCAGGCAGAGGCCAGGGCTGGCCTTGGAGGAGGGAGCTCCAGGCAGGGGTCAAGCCTGGATGAGGGTCTCCAGATGCCTGGAGGAGCCTGGCAGAAGCTCTTGTAAAATCACAGCCCTGCCTTTCTCAATCTATATGGTAATTCCCAGCAATCAGTCGGCTGAAGGGGAAGAGGCAGGAGAGATTAACCCTGCTGAGGAGGACTCCATGAGAGCTCCATGCTCAGGAGCACCCTGGGAAGGCAGCTGGTCAAGGTGACACTGCCCTTGTCCCTGTTCTGTGCCATGGTTTAACTTAGTGAGACCTTTCCTCTTCCAGAAGCTGTCACCTGAGGCAAATTGCCCTCCCCCAGGACTTGTGCATTAACTCGTTAAGGTGAAACTACACTTAGAAATGTTGAGCACCTGTAAGTCTCATTGGCTTCACCTGAAATGGGCCCAAATTGCAATTTATGACCCCAAAGCTCAAGCTCGTGGCATCGTTCAGACTCATTTAATGCTTTGTGCTGCCGTCTGCCCAAGAAAGGAGAGGAGATGGCTCAAAACTTGGGGGGTTTTGGCTGGAAGAACCTCTGTGGTGAGGGAAAAATGTGAGTATTGCCCAGAAAAGGGAAGGAGCTGGAGCAGGGCCTGGAGCACAAGT